TAACACTCAGCCTCGGAAGCACCTGCTCCTAGAGATCCTTCTGGAATGCTCTGGGACCTAGTGGGCCCTCTGGCACCTTGCTAGCCAGTGGGCGGAGGCCCTGCTCTCCTTGGTAGCTCTTTCTGAGGGGGTGAATCTCTAAGCTGTATCTCCCCATCTGGATGATCCAGGTGCTGAGAGTTGTTGGAGCCCAGCCTGTGTCAGGGGACAGACAGATAAAGCTTTAGGCTGCACTCTGGGGTCACTGCAAATTGTGCTGAAGTCCTGTCAGACTGAGGTCCACGCTCTGCAGGGGGCATCTCTGCTCATCGTGGGGTTCCTGAAGGTGAGAGTGAAGAACATGTGGGGTGGCTTTTATTTTTCTCCATTCCTACAGCATTTTTGCTATGATTGCCTTCTCTGAAATAAATTTTAAAGGAGCCAGCCCATCTCTCTTTACTTTTATGGCATGCTCTGGACCAGAGGCTGTTCTGTGCCAACTTCACCTTTACAAGGACACAACTGGTGTCTTGACCAAGGACCCCAGGATTCAGATACCAATGGCCTGCACCTTCCTGTATTAGCATTATTTGGTGGCTGGGGAGAGAGCAGAAAACAAAGAGTGACTAGGTAACAGACTGAACACTGAGATTTCAAAAAAAAAAATTATGCTGAGAGACACTTTGTTCTTTTGGAGGGGAGGAGCACATGATGTGGTACACCACTGTCCAGTAAGTGCTGACCACTTGGTCTCTCTACATGAACTATTGTGAATATCATCCACAGTGAAGCTCCATTCCCTGTGGCTATCTGGACAGGCTAGTTTGAAGGGCAGCAATCCCACTTGGACTGATGGACCTGCTTTCTTCCTGAGGGCATTCAGTAGTGTGGGCAAGGAATCAGAACCAAAATGGCAGAGTCAGTGTTCTGGTTTGGTAGGCATGCTGCATTGTCAGCCATGCCATCCTTGAGGCAGCTGCAGCCTCCTCTGCTGGGCACATGACATGTTTTGTGATACTCTGGTCTAGGCATAGCTAACTCCACTTCTCTGCTTCCTGCTGGAGCAGAGCCCAAGTGCTTGACTGCTGTGCCCAACACAGCAGCCTCACAGAAGGTTTTCTTTCTTGTTTTTGGTGCTGGAGGTCAAAGTCAGGTCCTTGCCCATGCCAGAGAAAAGCTCTACCACTGAATGATACCTCTAGCTCCCCAGCAACCTTCTGAAAACACATTTATTACTTTGATTTCTTGGTATCTGGTTCCTAGGGCCTGTGTTAGCCTCCACCTCTTAGAGACTCTGTGCTGCTTCCACAGTGAGGATGGCTGGGCAAGGAGTAGAAATACTTCCCACCCCACCATGCACAGGCTTCAGCTTCCAAATCCTTAAGTGGAAGGAGAGAATATTAAGCCAAATGCCAGGTATGTCCAGGTTGGAATAGGGACTGAATGAACTCTTTAGAAATATCAGAGGCAGATCGTCATCTCCTTGTCACACCGACATCTTACAGGTACACTCCGGGGCCTCTCAGGAGCCCTGGCGAAGGTACAAGTTGTAGATGTACACACAACTAAATTGTTTGTGCTCTGTTTTGCAATAAAGATGTTTAGCCTTAAGAACCTCGAATGGAACTCCAGCTGCAATGGGGCTGCCAGTGCCCCTTCCTACCCCCTCCCCCAGCGTTGCTTAGAAAGGAGGTCTGCCTAGGTGCCCTCAAGCCCTCAGATGGCCTCTCCTACCTAAATGTCGCCGTCATTGTTGCTGCTCCGTAGACTGCCTTCTTACTCACGTCAGTAAAAACTATCTTCACCAGCTCCCATGCTCTCCACCTGGAGAAGTCTTCAGTGTCCCTGAAGTACTGACCCTAAGCTTCTGAGAAAGGACCGTTTTCCACCCGAGGTGTTGGTGTTGAGAAGCATTCCTTGCCACCTCCCACAGTTCAAAGGCATCAATGTGAATTTTACCTGCAGCTTAAGTCAGTCTCAGATGAAACTTCAGTTTTCACACTAGTGTATCAGAACCATTAAGGATGGCCTTGAATTCCTGCCAGACCTGGTGGGGGCGTCTCCACCTGCCACTCAACCTTCCTTAGAGACATTGACTCTTTATCTGGGACTTCTGAGTCATCCACTGACCCATTGGTCCTTGAGAAGTTTGCAGCTCTCCTATCAGAAGACAGACTGCGTTTATGGTATGAATGCAACACCCCCCATGAATGTGGCCTCTTAATATTCAGACACTGTATTTGTGCATCAGTTGGAGACTGTCCACATTGCAAGGACATTTATACTCATGAGCAGTTCATCATTCTGGGGCTTCTCATATGAACACTCTCCATCAAATCCTGCCAAATTCTTTATCGGGGTTTTTTTGTTTCTTTTTCCTCTGTCCGAATGAGCATGAATAAACGGAAGTGCAAATGAGCTGAGGCTATTTTTGTGGTCAGCCAAGGATGCTGCCAAGAGCTCCACTGTGTGGCTGTGGTGTGGGGATGTGAAGAAAACTTGGGCACTCCATGGATGATGATACCCCCTTCTTGACATTTTTAAACAAGCACAAATGATATTTGTAAAAAAAAGTTTAATTTTATTTATTATGGTAATAAACTATTTTATACGTGACACTTGTGACATTCAGTTGGGTGCTTTCTGTTCTTCCAGCAGATCTGTGCATGTTTCCCAAGACCTACCTAAGTGGCTGGTTTACAACCAGCTACAACTTCAGCTCCAGTTGATCCAATACCCTCTTGTGGCCTCTGAGGCACCTGCACACACATGACACACATAAACATAGCAATAATTCTCTTTTAAGAACTGATCCGGGGAGCTCTGATGTGAATGGTGCCCATGCACCAGTCAGTTTTCTTGTTGATGTGGCAAAATAGCAGAAAAAGGCTGTTACATTTCAATCCAAATGCCCAGGTGCCAATTTAACATATCAAAGCAGCTGCTGGCTGCCAGGTTCTTCCTGTCTCCCTCAGTCCTACCTGTCACAGGGCCTCCTGGCTGGCACACTCCACTCCCTCCCCTAAACTTCTCTAGCCCAGGGCACTGGGCTGCTCTCCCCTATTCAGTCACACCATTTTGGTTATCCCCTCTCTGTGGGCCTCCTGGCTGCTGCACCCGGTTCCCTTTTCCCCCTCTCCCTCCCTCTCCTCACATGGCTCAGAGTCATGTCCACTCTAGACTCTCTCTAATGTCCCTGCCTCCAGCTGTACTCACCTGTATATCTATAATAAACTTTCTCCTCCACCACACCTAGGAGAAGTCATCTCCTTTCCCTTTTATTTCTTTTTTTTCATTCAGAAAGCAGCTTGCAGAAAGGATTTATTTTAGCTCATGGCCTGAGGGTGCTGGTCACATTGATGGCATCCTCGACAGGAAGCAGAGAGAGGTGGGTGCTGTCTGTCTGTCTGTCTGTCTGTCTGTCTGTCTCTCTCTCTCTCTCTCTCTGCCGTCTAGATCCCAGCCCAGGGAATGGTGCCACCTGTATTCAGAGTGGGTCTTCCTGATCTAGAAATCTAGAAAAGTCTCTGAAGTAATTCTAGATCCTGTAAAGTTGACTGTCAACATGAACCTATAATGGATGGGGGAATATAAAGTTCTAGAGGCAGCAGACTTCACGTCTGAGTGCTGTTCACTGAGCGTCCACAGGAAAGTGAGGCAATACTTGTTCTCACTGAAGTTCTGCTTCTGCCTTGGGAGCCTGTGAGGCTACCTCTACTATCCGGGTCTTAAAGATCTGGGTCCTTCATAGCCGAACCACAACAAAGGCTCTGCCTCCCACCACAATGGCATCAGAAGGGACAAACTACATTCATGGCTTCGGGCATCTTGCCCTCCTTGGGCGCTGTCTTGGCAGGTGACTAGAGCTCCTGGCCTTGCTCATGGAGCTATCAAGAGTCAGAGGGCCCCGGGGCTGGCAGTGACTCAAGACCTTACCCAGTGTTTTTCCAGAACTGTTCCTGAAGTTACTGGGGCTAATGACTGACTGACTGCTGCCCAGGAGCCAGCCTCAAGGGTCTATTTACAGTGAGTGGAGACCATAGAGGAAGGTGCTCCTGTCATGTTACAGTGGGGAGCAAGGAGAGGCAGGACAAGAGTCCTGGATAACCCACACAGCGAACTAACAGCCAATGTCCACTAGCCTGAGACCTCGCCAGAATCATATGGTTTTAACAAGCTTCAGGGTTATAACAACCAAGTACACTCACCGACTCTTCCAGTGTCATTTCATGAATAGGTCTACCATTCTGTAAATGGCTTCTCTGGACAAGTTCAGCATCTCCTGCATTATTTACAGGATGTCCGCGTAATCATTTTTACACTACGGTTTTTCTTAGCAAGCCCTTTCCCTTACTTGAAGGCCTCACCCAGACTCTCTGGCTGACCACAGATCCTTGCTCTGTTGATCTGTGAAACTGCACAGCACTCAGTTCAATTCTCACTCTCCCCAATCCTTGGAACCTCCCAGCAGCCCACAATTACCTGCCCCGTGTCAACCCCCTTACCAAGCCCGCTGCTGAGGTTATTTATTAATGCCCAGCTTACCAGCCCCTTTCCGGCTTGTGCTTTGTTCTAATGAGCACAGCATATTCATCCCAGGCCATCAACATCTGCCCCCCATCCCTTCCAAGCATGGCAGCCAGGAAGAAGGGGATCTACCTGGTGACTGGGGGTGCATTGTAAGGGTGCATGTTCCACTGAGTTGATATTCCCAGAGATGACTCAGGATGATGTCTTGTAGAGAAAGAAACAGCACTAAGCCCCATTGGCTCTGACACCTAATTGTCACCCAGTAAACAATTCATATAGTTGGAGTGTTAAGCATTTGTCCCAAATTCCACACACAGCTTTTTCAGACAGCCTCACCCCCTCCCCTGTGAAACCAAGTGGGAGCACTGTCACTGACCATAGGTCGGCAGTAGCCTGCCCAACATCAGTCTGGAGGGATGAAATGTCAAGTTATGCGTGTTTAGATCTCAAAATTTTTATTTAAAAATATCCACAATAAGTCTAGAAAAATGTGAATTATCTATGTAACAAAAGGGCTCTGCTTTATTTGGGTGAGAATAAGGCAATGAAACCACTACACAAAACACACGTAGCATATGGGACCTTGGGCCACCACCTTTCCCACAGGACTTGCCCAATAGCACCTGTGTGTGGACACACCCATTCTCTGGCTTGCTACAATCCCGTGCTGTACAGAACTGCTGTGGCAGGAATGACCATGCTCCTGCATGGCTACAGACCTCAGAGAACAGCAGCTGCATGGGGAAGCCCCAGTAAAGTTCAAACTGCAGGACTCCTTGGATGCTCCACCTGTACATCATCCACTCTAGCCAGGCCACTTGGAACAGGACTATGGCTTTGCTCCCTCCCTGCTAAGGACCATCCATGTGCAGGCCAATCCAGTGAAGAACATGGAAAGAGGTCACCAAACATCACAGAATGTCTCTGAGAGGCAAGCCTATCCCTGACTAGGGTTTCCATGCCCAAACAATGAATGTCCACCACTTTGAATCTTTGGTCAAGAAGAAAGAACTCAACAGGTCAACAGTAGGTTCTAGAACAAATGTCAACATGTATAGTTGGGAAAGACCCAAGACTGCTCCTGACTCTAGCTTATGTACCAGGAAGCTCATGGGGGTAGGGAGAAAATCTTTGCGGCTCCAAAATTAGAAGATTTTTTAGGTTGTACATTTTCTGTGATAGATAAAGCTGTCAGACTCAGAATGAAGCATCTTCAGCAGAAGATGAGTGGAAGGTGGTCCCTCAGGGATGGTCCTGGAGTGGAAGGTGGTCCCTCAGGGATGGTCCTGGAGTGGAAGGTGGTCCCTCGGGGATGGTCTCAGAATAGAAGGTGGTCCCTCAGGGATGGTCCTTGAGTGGAAAATGTTTCTTCAGGGATTGTCCTGGAGTGGAAGGTGGTCCCTCAGGGATTGTCCTGGAGTGGAAGGTGGTCCCTCAGGGATGGTCCTGGAGTGGAAAATGTTTCTTCAGGGTTTGTCCTGGAGTTGGAAGGTGGTCCTTCAGGGATGGTCTCAGAGTGAGAGGTCCGAGTGAAATGCCATGTCTCTTGAAGACTGACCGCAAGGCTGACTTGGACCAGCAGCTTTAGAGAACTGTATATGTCTGAGCCCAGGTGATACCCACATGTGAATAGCAGTACAGGAATCCCAGGACAGATAGGGTCACCCACGGCCAGCCTGTATGAAGAGGCAAAGAGGAAGAATGGTTAGAATGCCTGGGCGGTCCCTCCCTCACAGGCAAATTGTCCCCTAAGGATATGGCACCTGAAACACAGGACTCCGGAAAACCAGCTTTGTCTGGACCCAGCAGGTGGGGCCCTGTGTTCTCATTGGGGTCACCATGTACATTACTGCAAAAGCAAACACCCTTAGAAATAGGCTATGCTTTTAAAGAGCATGCCCCTTGGAGACTAAAGCAAATAACCAGAGGAGAAGACATGTTTGTAGGAACCACAGTCAATCTCCACACGCAGGCAGGCTGTTACAGTGAAGACTGTGCTATTAAATACTAGATTTCAAAACTCAGAACTTAGGCTGGAGAGATGGCTCAGCAGTTCAGAACACTTGCTGCTCTTGCAGAGGACAAGAGTTGAGTTCCTAGCAACCATATGGGGATGTAACTCCAGTTCCAGGTAATTTAACACACTTTTTGACCTCCATAGTCACTGTTGTATGTGGTACACATACATACACACACACACACACACACACACACACACACACACACACACATTAAATAAATAAACAAAAAACCAAAACAAACAAATAATGAATCTTGTGGGGAAGAAGCCTCTCAGAGTTCGGGGTTAGAGAGGGGACTTGGCCATTAACGGCACTGGCTGCCCTTACAGAGGACCTGGATTCAGTCCCTGTAGCCACATGGCAGCTCACAACTCTTTGTAACTCCATTTTAGGGGATCAAATACCTTCTTCTGGCCTCTGTGGTATCAGGTGCGCACACACAGTGTACATACAAAGATGCAGACAAAACATCCACACACAAATATAAATAAACCTTTTAAAAACAAGCTCAGAACTTTTGGCAGCTTCTTCTACAAACACACATCTCAGAATATCTGATCTTTTCTTGTTTTTAATATTAGTGTCAAACTTTCTTGGAAACGTTGGAGAATTGGGAGTGATGTGACATATCAGAAGCCAAACTCCACAGATTCAGTCCTGAGTTAGAGGTGCCCCCATTGCCACCTCAGGTAAGACATGGACCACAAGCCACCTTTCCAACTACCCCAGGATGACTTCACTCTCCATGTGCCTGGCCCCATGCCAGACCTTACATCACTGGGTATTGTTGACCTGCATGTACAGTCCAACCAAGAGGTTGCTAACTGGTTGGCCCAAGAGGCTGAAGCATCCTCCTCAGGCTCAGATGAGGACCATTCTGAGACCACTGTGATGTGTGGTCACACAGGCTTGTCAGTTGTTAAAAGATGGAGCTAACAGGATATGTCCTGTGGTAAGTCACTGGTCTCCCTCTACAATTTCCTCTCTTTCCACCCTTCCCCTGCTTGCCAGATTCAAGGACTTTCGGCACCTTGACCTTGCTACATAAACAAGTGATAAGTTTAAAGAGACAGTTGTTGGCAACTGGAGGTTCTGTGAATAGATTGCAAAGAACCGTGGATACATTTAACAGGACAGACCTGGCAGACAGGTCTGTTACATTCATGGAAGTGTGGAGACACCACAGCAGAGTCACTTAAGATGACCATTACGGTTGGACTAGATGGAGTTGGTACAGTAGAGGTAGTTACATAGGTTATGGTGGGTGGTGTGGTGACTACAGCCAACGAAAGGGAGACAGCCAGGGCTAGGGAAAACTAAGCAGTGAGATTTTACTTGAGGTTATCGTGACTGACCAGTTCTCTGAGCAGTTTTAACAGCCTGAATAGACTGGAAAGGCTGGGATTCATAGGGAAATAGCTGTCATCAAGCAGGGCCTCGAGAAGCCAACTTGTGATTCTCTGGGAAGGGGAAAGAGGGTCAGAAAAAGGAGTGGGTCTGATGAACAACGTTCAAAAGGTCATGTCCTGGGGCTGGGGAGAGGGCTCGGTCCGTGATGTTCCTGCCTTGTGAGCACGAAGACCCGAGTTTAGTCTCTACGCCCATGTGAAAATAAACAAGTATGGCGGCTGCATGGGTAGCTCCTGCCCTGGGGAGGTGGAGACAGGCAGGTCCTTCAGGCTTGCTGCCAGAACAGTGAGAGATTCCATCTCAAAATAAAACAAGGTTTAAGAACGACAGTCAGGCTAAGGAGATGGCTCAGCAATTAACAGCACTTGCTGTTCTTCAAGAGGACCTGGGTTCAATTCCCAGCACCTGGATGGCAGCTCACAATCATCTCCTCTGGCCTCTGAGGACAACCAGGCATACATGGTCCACAGAAATACTTGCAGGCAAAACACCAACCATAAAATAATTAAAAAAAAAAAAAAAAAAAAGAATGATAGCCAAGCTTGTCCTCTGGCCTCCACACACAGGCGTATTATGCATGCATGTCCTCACACACCAGTGTGTGCCTCCCACACAGCACATGAGGAGAAATGGTGCTGTCACTGCGGCCACCACTATGGAGGTTCCTCCAGTCATCAAATCAAATACAGAATTATAATATATGTGACTAAAGAATCCACAGCAGAACTACGAGAGATACTTGCACACACAGAGTCACAACGTATTCACAAAGGTACAAGCAACTCAAGCTGACAGGTGAGTAGATAAGCGATGTGTACACACAGATACCAGCAGGAAAGCAAAATCTGATGAATGTAACGGCCTCCGTGGAACTTGAAGACATCGTGTTATGTAATAAGCCAGACACAAAGGAACAACTAGCTGATCCCACTTATTTGAGGTCCCAGAGTGGCCAGCTTCATGGACAGAAGGTACAAGCTCCAGCAGGGACTGGGAGGAGAGAGGAATGAGTAGTCAATGGAGACAAAGTTTCAGCTTTGGGAGACAAGGAGAGTTCTAGAGATTGGACAGTGGTGACAGCTACATAACAATGCAATGTTCCTAATGTTCCTGAACTATATTAAAAATAACTAAAACCATATTTTTAAGTTGTGTAAAATTTTCCACAGTAAAAAAATGAGGCTGAAGCCCTTGAGAAAATAATATATAGTAAATTATTCCATTTATATAAATTGCTAACCAATTACAATGACAGCGATCCATGGTTGCCAGGAGCTGGGATGGGGAGCATGGGTGCGAAAGTCTCCTGGGGTGACGAAGCCATTTCTTCATTTCCTCATCCATCCCCTGCCCCTCACTCCCTCTCATTTCTCTTTTGAGATAAGGTCGTACCGTGTAGCCCATGCTAGCCTCTAACTTGTGGCCATCCTGCCTCAGCCTCCTCAGTCCGGGGATCATCTGTTTGGACCCTCACACCCGGCAAACGTTTGGTAATTTGATAATGTGAATGGTTTCAAATGTTTACCACACAGCTGGCAAATAACCACCCAACTGTGCGTACGAACAGATGCTTTTGACTGAATTCACCGGTTTTCAACGATGTTAGAACAAAACCTCAAAACCAATCAGACATGACAACTCACAGACTGGCAGCCTTGGTCTGTGACGTCCTGGGCTCCGGACGTGCCATGGAAGTCAAGCAAAACACGTGAGAAAACACAATTTGGTCTTCAGTCCTGCATCCTCCCAGGGAGGGTTCTTCTGAGTGTGTCAGGACTGGATCCGGGGCTCCCAGAGCCCCCCTTCCTCCACCAGGGCCTCTCAGACACCCCTCCTCCCTGCAGAGGGTCTGGCAGCAGACAGGCTGGCGTAGCTGAGTCAGCACACATCAGTATTCCCTGGAGAAATCAATCCACTCCTAATGGGAGGGGGTTAACTAAGTTGCCGGGTAACACAGGGGCTGTCAATCACCCCATCAAAGGCCCCCTGAGCTATATGCTTCTGGAACACTCCAGTCATCTTGTTGCTCTTTCAAAAGCCACATCCTACTATTTACCACTTCTAGAAGAAAAACGCCTGGCAGCCAGCTAGTGAACATGGTTTGCAGCGATACGGCCCTCCTGCCCAGCCTCTCAGTCACCCAGCACAGTGTGTCCTGTCCACATGTGACGCTTACAGACGTGACAGACTCTGCTAAGTTTACAAAGATCACACTCTCAGGTAATCAATCCTTCCAACACAGAGGTAGAGACTGCCGCTCTTTTTAAAGGAAAAAAAAAAATTGAAGTTCATGAAGGGAATGAGTTCCCAGGGACTGTGTATGCTACAGAATCTGGTTAAAATGCTACCCCGGAGACTGGGTAGAAGGCTCAGTGGGGGAGGCACCAAGTGTCTGCCATGCAAGCGTGAGGGCCTGAGTTCAAGCCCAGCACCCACGTAAGGGGCAGGTGTGGTGGCCTGCCTCCGTAACCCCAGTGTTGGGGAGGACACAAGTGGCTTCTGGGAGTCACTGGCCAGCCAGCCTAGCTCCTGGTTCAGTGAGAGATGCTATCCTAAAAAACAAAATGGGATGAGTTAGAGAGAAACCCCTGAGGTTGAGCATGCACATGTGTGTAGATCTGTACACACAGACATATACCGCATATACACACACCATACACATACATACATGCCTTCCACACATGCACACACCACACAGATTCATACAGAGACATTCACACATACATAGAGACATATCACAGACACACATACAACATGTACTACAACACAGACACTCACACATATCATGCATATACACACATGCACCCCACACATGCACATACACATACATACATACATAGAGATATACATAGAGATATATCACAGACACACACACACCATATATACTACACACATAGACATATACCATACACATACACACATGCACCCCACATGTGCACACACACAGACACACATACATAGAGACATATCACAGACACACACACACCATGCACATACACACATGCCCCACACACATGCACACACAGAGACACACACAGGCAAAACAGATGTTCTTGCTCAAAGCTGGACTACCTCCACAGGGCCCAGAGCTCACTCCCATGCTAGACTGTGTGGTTGAATCCTATCTAGAGTGGACTAAAATATGCCACATTGTCCTTTCATTTCTTTTTTTAAAATCTATTATTCACTATTATCTGTAACTGAGACTGCCTTAGCTTATCTGCATCCACCCAAGCAAGCGTTCC